TTTTAAGTCGTTTGTTCTCTTCATCTAAATTGGAAATCTAAATTAGCGTTATGAGCGAAACATTTATTTTGCTAAAACAAAGTTTCAAGCTTGGTAAAATGAACTAATGGTACAATCATTTATAATAAAAACGCAAATGATATACCAATCACGTTGTACTCGACAAACTTCGAGTTTTACAAAGGCATCTAATAAATATTATCAGCTTTCAGTCATTCATGAATTTCACACACTGGCTATTTCATATTTATATATTATTATTATCATACACGTGGCGATATTATTATGAATGTCTGTTAATAAACAAAACTATTTCGTTTGGCATACCTATTGATAATTTTTATTTAAACTTTCAACAAAGTAGCCTGGTTTGCGTCTCGAGTGATTTCTAAAAATCAAAACGGAAGAAAAAAGAAAGCAATCACGCGTCGAAAACATAGACATTAGATCCCTAAAATTTTTTATGACCCGAGGATCTTGGTACACAAGTATGTGTTACGGCAAGCTCGGCGGTGAACGGTAGTTGCTACTCGCTTCGTTAGTCGCTCTCTCGTCGTGCCTTTTACAGCCCCCGGAGAGATGTTTTAATGAATGAGACGTTATGTGGAATAAATACTTATATTTCAAGACTAATACAAAGTAGTTATAAACTGTATGTGTGATGTGTCGGGAGAGGGCACGCTAGCTCTCCTTGTAATTGACGCGGACGGTATTTGGACTGATTTGGTGAAAATGAAAATGAATGTATAACTGACGCGGAGTCAGTCCTCTGACGGACTGCTTGTGACTCCTTGAGTGGTCTACGTGTGACTGCCCTGATGGAGTTTGTTCGCTCCGTGAATCTATGTTGCCTTTAGGATTGGTATGCGATTTTCTGGAGCCGACCAAGGCGCCTTGTTTCCTAGACTAGGCTTTTGTGTCCTACCGAGCCTTTCCACATACTGTCTCTCTCTCCAAGGCCAGAGAAAGTGTCCTTAGATGAGAGGTATGATAGTACATCTGGCAATTCTCGGCAGGGCCGAGGCTTCGTAGGAATTGACCTGACTGACGCCTCGGAGGATTCTGTTCTGCGCCAGAACAGTATGCAACGTTATTCTTCAACTTCTCAGCGCCGGCGAGTTTCACGGTTGAACATCGCGTTACGGTGGTTGAACGCTTTTCAATTTTCGAGCATGCACGTTGTCAAATCAGCATAAAAACTCTCGCTGTCGAAACTTGCTCCTTTTTCGCCTATTATGTCCGGCCGCCGACCGAAACTGCGAGTTCCCCGGATATTATATAACAAAAACAATTAACAATCCGTGAAGCGCGAAAAGTTTCTCTCCGTTAACAGCTGCAGGCTGCAGTTTGAATGAAATTAAATTATGATTAAAAGTAGACACGCGTGTACACGCGAGAGGCGTGTACGTACCGACGAAACAAAAGTGAAGAACAGAGGGATGGGAGGAAACGTAAAAAGGACGATCTAACGGTACGTTGTGAAGCTCCACTTCGTTTGACTTTTTACATCGGTAAATTAGAAAACAAGGTTAGAAATTTCATTTTGTCCGCGCGTGAGTGTCGCGGCGAGTAAAAGGGAAGTCCGGCTGTTGCCAGACCTTTTCCCCCCGACACGAGACGAATTATGCGAAACGAGACAAGTTGGTTACGTTGGTACAGGTGGCCCACGAAAATACTCGAACGCCCGCCGTGCAAGAATTTTTACATACGCGTATATTACGCGCGTCATGTAAAACAGACTAAAATATTTATAAATTATAAATATTTATAAAATATTTATAAATTGGAAATTCCTAAAACCTTCCTATAAGTACTTGAAAATTTTCATGAGCAGCTGCGCATAATCTGATTATTTTCTACCGAGTGGAAATGTTAAAAATAGCCGATAGATCTCGTTCTGTCTCGTCTCCGAGATATTTTATTTGAAGAAAAAAAAAAAAAAAAGAGAAGAAGGAAAAGATTCTCACCGAGAAGGTTAGAAAGTCGGTGAATCACCAAGAGTAAGAGGCACACGGTTAATTTTCTGCCGTAGTAATGGCTACGTTAGGTTACAGGATTCTCCTCTCTTCGTTCTCGTTTCCTTTTCTTTCTTTTTTTCAATTTTTCTACCTTTACCCTGGTACTTCTTGTATTCTAACAGCAGCGTCGCTATTGCTCGCTTTAATTAGTATTCATATTTCCTTTTTTCTCCATCCTTCCTTTCATGTTCTTCTTTTCTTTCCCCCTTCTTTTTTACTCGATTTGTCGACGCTTTATTAAATGCAGCATCCTTGGAATATCATATTTAATCCTGATAAATACGTCGATCATAAATATTAATACGAGGTGGTATAAAAAAAAGTATGGGTCAATTGATTCCGTTCGGGGACTCATCCATTTAAAAAAGAAGTATTCAGGAATTAATTTCTCCTCTGCGTTCTTGCATGCCTGTGGCTCGTTGCACGCGAGTGTCTATCCCGCCTCTTTCTCCGATACTGTGTCCGCCATGAAATATTAATCTCGAATTTCTCTCACGTTCGTTGCGTATTCATCATCGGTGTACACTCGGTTCGGGACTTTTGCAACGCATCGATTCGATTATTTCGCAAGTCAATGTTCGTATTTACTTAACGCAAAATCGATGCGAGAAAACTCATTGCTATACACTCTGAATCAATCACCAAACTCAATGGTTAACATTTTGAAACATGTTTAGAAACAAGTTCCCCTTCCTGGCGCACAGTGGGTAGAAATTCTAAATGTTTGAAATATTCATTTATTTAGAATTTTTATTTTACTTTTAGCCAGATATTTTAAAATTAATTCATTCAATCGAGAAACTAATATATCTTACTATTTGGTTTTTTTTTTATCCATTAAAATTTTTATCACCGTGCAACCGTCATGATATTTCTTCGTTCAACGTCTCTGTTCGACGTTTAATCGCGACGCACGTTATTGCATCTTTTACATTCGTTTACAAGATTTCTTTTCTCCGTTGTATCAATCACTTCATCGCCTTGGTGGTTAAATTACGGATTCATTTTTCATCTCTACGGAAAGTAAAGAGAATTCTTGAAAAACACTGCTGAGAGGGGGATGATGAATCTTTCGTTCAGTTTTCTTATAGAGCGACGTATCTCGTATACAGGGAAATAAACGTTGCCCTATTTTGAGGCTAGTTTTCATTCCAGGAAATGTATAAGGCACGGTGTTGACGGATCGCCTATCCGGCTGAATGAAAGTCGTTTTTGACAACAGTCTAACTTTTATTACAAATTACTAAAGGATATTCGAAATTGCGCGAATTTATTTCAAGAAGTCTATTTCTCTAAGGTTAAGTAATTGTTCAATTTTCGAATTACTGTCTTGATACATACTACGAATTTATACAAGAAAGAACTGAAATTTATTAAACTAAAAGATGACAGACTCAACGTATAATTTTTCATTTTCTTTTTTTTATAATAAATATATTGTCGACCGGTTCATCAATCATTGAAACAAGGTAAAGAATATTAAATGACAAAAATCGAAATCTATCAAAATTATGAATTTAGTACTTCCAGCGTTAAAATATAACAAATATTTCATCTTTTTATAATGATATCGTTCAACATCTGTAATTACTGTATTACTTTGAGATTGTCAGCCGTAACTCGAATTACGAAACATCTTTTCAGGTGTACGTGCGAAATACTTTCTAAGAATACTTTCTCCTAAGACATGTAAATATTTTAAGATGAACTTAAAAAAGGAAAATAGGAAAGAACATCCCGTTAATTTGTAATAAAAATATTCCTCGACATTTCCAGCCAACGTTCTAGCTATACGTTCGACCGTTTCTGTGCCACTGAATCGAATCGGATCCAGTTTCACCTGTCTTTCCTCTCTACGGCGGGCAAGAATCGGACGATGTCGCCCCGTTTTGCTTGTTTCATTCCGACACGGAAGCATAGGAACGCGTTCATAGAAACCGCTTTCGGTGTCGCCCGATGTAGAACGGATGCTCGAAAGTTTCCGCAAGTTGTCGACACGCGTTGCGTGTACGGGATAACCGAGAAATTGCCGCGGCGACAATGGCGGCCGATGTTCGCGTACGTGTTTCGCGGTGTGTTTCGAACAATGCCCCGGCTGGTCGATTCCATTCGGCTCGTTTAAGTAGCAGAAGTGGATCGAAAACAAACGTGCCGTGCTGTACAGAGGTGCTGCGACACACAGGAGGAACAAGAAGGATGGAAGCCAAGCCGATGAGCTTGCTCGTATAACGCAGTTACGAGCGTTAATAGGATCTGAGCGTCGCAGTTGGACTCGAACGACGGTTACAGATTCCCTCGCTGCCGTCTCAGCAGCGGCTCGCCAAATTGAATGAAATTGCAATTTGGAAATTAATCGCCGGGCTGTTCGGCCGCTCGCCATCGCATTTCCACCGTACGTTTCCACCCGTGGAATTGCAAATTTACATCGGCTACGATTCTTCTTCGCTCTCGGCCGCCAGCCACCGCCGCCGTGCCCCTATCGCTGTTGGAATTAGGTCGAAATCTGAATCTTTGATATTTATGTCGCCGCGATTTGCGTATCGCGCGTCGGAGTTTTCGCGATTTGTTGCCTCCTCGTGCGGGGGCTTTCAGCTTGTCTGTGTGCTTGAATATTTAAATATCCCGGGACTCGGGGATACTTGAACTTTGAAACGTGAGACTTGATATTTTTAACATTTGTATTTTGAATGCTTTTGTTCCTCTCATTCAATTTTTTCCCAATATAATTACTAAATTATAATAATAATTCCCTCGAACTCTTTCAATTCGATTATCGAAAACCAAACTTTAAATTGTATCAAATTTGCATCCTCGTCGTTCGAACATTTCTCTGGCGTCTAAAAATTTCGAAAATTCGAAACATCAAGCTTCGGCATCTCGTCTATTCAGCGGCCACAATTCCTAGCTCTCCGTCGAAGGTGTATTATTGTGATTGGACAGTAATCGACACACATTCACGGTAAATTCATTAACATCACTCACCGGTGTCCTGACAGCCTCTCAGTTCGATTCGAAGGCAAACGGTGCGCCGGTGCTCGGAATGCGGCAAAATACGAATCTGGTTGGCGAAGATCGGTGGTATCAATCGATGCGATACCACGGTCGACGTGTCGCTGTTCCCCGCGAGCACCTGCAACAGTTACGAATAGAGATGGGATTGAGTGTCTCACAAGTGCGTTCGAAACGTTTGAGAAGCGACAGCCTGAGATTTTCGATTCGCCAAAATTATATTTCTGTTTCGAAACGAGTCGATACGAGTTCGACAGCGAATTTTCACTGTTGTACGACGTTTATTTTTTGAAATTATATTACCACGATAGTAAAATATTGTACATTTCGTTCTCCTGTCTGTTGTTCGTCTATTTCTATCTTCGTGATTATGAAGTTACGAGTTAATGAAGCAAACAGCATTGCGAAGCAGCTGGACTAATTCTAGCTTGACAATTATTATCTGAGAAAAGAAAGGGGCTACATTTCTATGTTTCTTATCTTCGTTTTTTTAATAATGTTTTTAAATTATTTATTTAACAGCGAGTAGTATACAGAGTAGAGTATAGACTATAATAAAACAATGGAACTACAACTTGGTGTAACATAAGGTTGCTCCATGTGTCTACAAGTTTTTGCAAAACAAAGGTCACAAAACCACGAGTTCTGTACTGTACTTCAATTATCCTTTCGTCATTTTGAAGACTGATTGATTTCTGCGTAAAAATAATTCTAAGACGACCCAATCGACGGGTACGTCTTGAAACGTTTTTACTTTCGTGCACACTTAGATATCGAACCTGACGCGAATTTGCAGGCGTCACGTCGAATTCGATCCCGTCCGTAGTCGAAAGCGAAACGGGTTGCGAAACACCGTGACTCGAATTCAATTTTTCGCCGATGCGTCGCGATTAAGCGTTGTTTAACCAACGTTTAACCGACCGACGCGTTAATTAATGACCGCGTCGAAGCGGCTGGTAAATTAAAGCGATCCATTAATCGGTGAACGATTTCCGCCGGACAAATTACAGAGAAGGGGGCCGGGGGTTGTGGGACGATCCGTTGATTCTTCCGATAAAATGCATTTAATCAATGCTTGTTTCTAAGTAAATTCGTTGGTGGAACAACGTTCACGACGATATATTATCGGTGCCATATAATTGTCGGGTTAATTGCAATAATTTAACTGATTTAATTACAACGTCCGATTAATGCGATCCTCCACCACTGTCCTTGCGTCGAGTAACATACGATTAACTCGGTCGCTCGTATCGCCAAACAAATTCTCTATCTGATAATAACGGTGTTAGAGACACGAGGGGGAGGTGGAGCGAGCGTTGACTGTAGTTAGATTCGTAAGCGAACGATGATATACACACGGCCCTATACTGTGGTCGAATCGACGCCAATATCAATCAACCTACCCCCCAGAAGTCTCAGCGGCTAGAAGCCGAGCGCTATGTCGTTAGACATAGATCATGATTGCGTCCCTTCGAAGCCAGTGCCACGGTTAATGCACCTCCACGGAGGGAGCGCGTAAATTATCATTTGAATAAACCTGGATGTCGTGGTTCGGCTACTGCCTCGTAAGTAACTGGATGCTTTGATCGATTTGTGGTAAGTTGATTGCGGTCGCATGATTGTGGGAAACTCAGAGGTGTAAAAATAGATAGAATAGGTGGAATCTCTCGATTCGATGTGCGACGTTCATCCGTGTCAATGGAATTTTAGTTAGTGTCTGACAACGAACGCCAAGGCTGGCTGAATCTACTTACTTCGACGTGAGATACTTTGATCATATGAATCGTCGTGCCATGAAAATATATCGTACGTATAGAATATTTAAGCGTTTGTTTCTTAAATTCGAAATTCAACGTACTCGAAAAAATATAAATCAAATTATCTATTATAAATTATCTAGTTCCGCTTGAATTCAAGCTACTATCGATTAAAAAGTAATAGGATGGATTGTTGGATGAATTGTTTAAAATTATTTAAAATCATCCGGTAATATCTCCGTTTAAGAAAATGGAATCTCGATAAATGTAATTGAGTATTTTACGCATCATCTTACAGCGCGTGCAGTTACTGGAACTTTGCACTTGCAAGTTCCCTAACTGTAGTACTCTAAATATATAACATTTTAATTACAATCATTACAATTCTTCCATGTATATTCTTCTAAAAGTAAGTAAACATTCTGATTCATAGCACACACAGTGAAATACAAATTTCTTCACTTTCTATTTATTCGTTTGCATTTTGCACGTGCAAGTAATAAATGATAATAACGCTCGATTTCCTTTAGCCACGTTTCTTTATCATTTTTTTTTTTTTTTTTTTTTGGAAAGTTCAGAAGAATAGTCACAGTTCGGCCAGAATAACGTGACTCGTTCTATGCGCACCTAAGCTGCAGGATTGCGAAAGCGAGCCGCTTCACACGCTACAGGGCGATAAATTATCGTTCGTTACAGACGCAGCCGTGGAGTTGGCCTATCGTCGGCCGAGATTGCTTAATTGGACGATTCCCGTGGAACGGCTCTTAATTATTCGACGATCAGTCGAACGAAGCGGTTGTTTTGGAAATTTATTCGACCGCGCGCGCCGGAACGTAGACGAGACGCGCACGTTTTTTTCCAGTTGCATACGAGTAAGCTATCGAACTGACAAAGAATAGAAACGCGCGGATCGTCACGAACCTCGAAAACTTGCGTTTTCAGAAATATAAATTCATTATCGAATGATTTATTCGTAAAACAATTGTTAATTCGCAGATTTCAAATCGAAGTAACTGACTAGTAATTTTTTTCCCTCGCAAGCAAACGAAAAAGAACGTTTCCAATCCTAGCGACGAGTCGAACATCTTTTACTACCGGATGCATTTGAAATTTAATAAATTTGCCTGTTTAATAAATAACGTGTGATTAACGCACCAAGAGGAAACTTCCACTGCAACGAAGGCCGCGAGGCGCACGAGTTTGCAATGCGCACGTACTTATCGATGGCCGCATCTCACTTCCCTTCTTTCCGGTTCAATCTTCGAGAACAGTTAGAGGTAACGCGAAGGTTCGCGAATCCCGTGACTCGAATCACCTTCGAATCGCCGACCCCAACGGAATCACAATAAGGAGATCTCGAAGCGTTCCTCCACCAAAGCAGGAAGTTCTTCCTTTACCGAGGAATAAATCGAGACTCTTCCTATTACTCTATTATATATCTGTTCTTCTTCGATGAACGATTGTTTGAAATGGAATTTTCACAACCAAGACCGACCATCTGTCTTTATCTTTTGCCGATGATTATAAAATTTCTAAAACCACTAGGTTTTACATCGTATAAATAAATATATCCCTCGTTCGTAAAGTTCAAACTAATTTGAAGTTTTTCCAAAATACGTAGAGGTAAGTCTTTTTCAATGAATGATCGTTTGAAATTAAATTTTCATAATTTAAATGATCGTCTATCTTTTATGTATCATGTATCTTCATTACAAATATAAAACTTATATGAATATACGTTTGAATATTTTTAAAAACTTCAAATTATTTTGACGCCTTCCCAGGATGTACAGAGATAAGCAGTCTTCTTCAATGAATAACCGTTTGAAATGGAATGAAACTTGAACTACCATTTGTCTTTCATGTCCTTTATTATTTGCTGATGACGATTTGTACCATTATGTCATATTACGCATTCCTTTCAGAATTTCAAATTACTGATGCCTCTTCAAAGTGTATAGAGATAAGTAGTAGAGACAAGTAGTATCTTCGATGAATGATTGCTTAGAATGGAATTTTCATAACTTAAACTGCCTTTTGTATTCTTTATCTTCAACGCTAATCTTCAAATGTATAAACATAAGTAATCAATTCATGAGATGAATTACTCTGATATTATTATTATACCATTGTTTCGAAACCATAAAAAATTCTAGAGGTGGAAGTTGAAGCGAAGCTCTCGTTGGCAAATATTTTTAAAAAAGTAATTTTATATTATTAAGTAATTATAAAGGTAATTTTTATGTTATCCAAAAATTCCATCAACCGAGCACCTTGGTCTTCTCATTAGTTTATAATATATAATATAATTGTGATATATAAATAATATTATAATATATCACATAATTACATTATATGCAACTATAAAAAATTATTTTGATTACAATTGCAACAATAATAAGACCATAGTTTGCATACTTGACGTACCTGTACAATAATTTGGATTTCTGTTTTACTACTAATAAATGGCTGCGTGAATGGCTTGATTACAATCAAGTTCAGGATCGTCTGACTCGACTTACTCCTTCTCTACTGTCGAAGTGGTATTGTTTCTAACAACTCACGGTATAAACGTGTGCTCACGTACCTCTTTCTTATCCCAGCGCTTATATCGCTGCCAGTCGGTGAAGCCAGGACGTCGATACTCGAGGGTATACTCCTCGACGTATTCCTGGCCACGGCCGCGATCGTAACGACCCTGACTCTGTACACCAGTAATCACGTGAGGTCCAGGGAGATCCACTTGCAGCCACTCACGAATCCCTCTTTCTATTTGGTTCTTCGGGCACCAGGCACCACCTGCTGTCTCCTTCCGCAGCCTGTTTTCAACAGAAAATTTTTGTTAGTGTCACGCTTGCTTTGATATGATTTAACGGTACCCCAAGATCAATGGCCACTACTTTCAGTCGATTTTAATCTAGAATTCTTACAACTAGAAATTCTAAGAGCATCGTGGAATTCAATTGAACATTAACATAATTTTAATATGGGTGACTGGAGTTCCTTTTTGCTTCTTTTTTTTTTTTTTTTGGTCATCTTGCTATTCACTTGTTAACCCATTAAGGATCAAAGTTCAACGTTAATCTATTTTTTGGATTATGGAAAGAAACTTCAAGAATATTCTATCATTAAATATTTAATTTTCAATCGATATGATTGAAAATTGGAGATCACAGCAATTTAACATTTTAAATTATTTATTTTTGGAATGGTTTATTAATTTAATTATTAATCTCAGTCACAGAGAATACAAAATACAAATACCCAATTTTTTTAATTCAATATTGATCGAAGGATTCAATTAATGTACTCTAATGTACTAAATGCTTAATTATTAATCAATATCATTGGATACTGAAGACCACAATGATTTTTAAGTTATTTATTTTTCGAATACTTAATTTAATTGTATTAATAATTTCAATCAAAAACTTGGACAAAAAATCATTTTTAAAAAAACATCACACGTGTATTCAAGTTATCGGTTTGACTTATCACATTTATATTTATAAAACAGAAGATTGCTCATTTTAGAACATTGATTCATCATACTTTTGAAATTTCATTGAACACACGCCTGGATGCATTCATTCAGAATTATTATCCCGTAAAACGACACTGGGAACTATATTACTTTACAAATATAGATAATTTTTCGATACTACTCTCCGGGTTATTTATCACTCGCTTTTTCCTCTCTCGAAATTCATTAATCACACGTTTCACAGGGCTAACGAAATACTCGCGAAAAAAAAGAGATAAACAAATAATGAAAGGGAGAGAGAGAGAGAGAGAGAGAGAGGGGGGAAAAAAGCCCCAGAAAATTGGCAAACCATTCGATCGCATTGATATTACGAATCGAAATTTGACACGCAGAGCAGTTTACGCCGATGGAAAAACAGGGTTCGCCCGAAAATCAATTTTCATTCTCGTCGAAAATTTGTCCTCGTTCGACCCCTGGCCAGCCGGCCGACTGAAATTGCACAATAATAATCGTACCGAAAATGTAGCCACGTCAAAATCGTACGCCCTCAATTCACGGATCGTTACGTTGTATCGTCGTATCCAACCGAGCCTCCCCTCTCTCCCCCCTCCACCCCCTCGATCCTTTCTACCAGTTACAGTGACCAGCGGTAATTTTTCACTTGATTTGGGACAGACATAATTAATTGATATTATATTTCCGCTCGCACTGGCGAACTGAACAGAGATGTGAGTAAATATCGGCAGGAGAGAGAGGGAATAAGAGAATGAGACTGGAAGAAGAAGAGAGGAGAAACATTTTCATAAAACCGATGGTTTTAAGTGAACCGATGGTTCTAAAGTTGCCGGTGAGTTAATTAATTAAATTGCCCCTAGAACGGGGCACGTTTTTCACGACGATGAAAATGTTTGTTAATGTGACGAAGGTCCGCGAAATATCACGACTGATCGAGGATATCGACGTTCGGAATTGGGAAACGAGAACCCCTTATTTGATCTGCCGCAATAAAAAATGCTTTTAACTGAATAAGTTCCTGGCGCGTTGCTGGGAATACTTTCAAAGCGATATTAATTTCTTTTCGACGCGAAATTGCGAAGTAGCGCGATTAATAAAAGCTGCAGTGGTATTTTTTGTTTATAAAACTCGGCGTTTTCAAAGCTGTGGATATGTTTTAAGCTGTACTAAGCTTAACTTTTTTCTTTTTTTTTTAAATAACATTTTAAAACTTTTTACATTAAATACGAAGAGTACACGAGAACGTGACAAGTTTATTTTTATTATCGAAGAGCTTGTTAGATTCGATCGAATATAAGTTTGCTGAAAATAGCTGGCAAATGAATAAATATTTTACAAACGATGAAGGACAAATAGCATCACGCAGTACAGATTTTAGAATAGAGCGTAGAAATATAAATCTAATAAAACAATAATTTTTGTAACATGGAAATAATTATCGAATTTTAATTCTGAAATATTGTGAAAACCAAAAAAGTTCCTTTCAAAATTAAAAAAAAAAGAAAAAATGATGAAGAAGGGAAACATTTTATTTTCCAAAATAGTTATTCTTATATTGATGAATGATTCTTTTTTTAAACAATCTACATAATATACATTTATAATTATCACTGTTCTGTTTTGTAAAATAGCCAAGAAAACTGTGTGAAAAAATAAGAAATTATTATTTGCTTCTGACAAAAAAACTATGTTCCTTTTTGTATATTTCTACATTATTCTTTACTGTCATAAAAGAAACAACACATTTGCATTTTGATCACTTAAATGAATGATTACCAATAATTTATATCACCCTATGTATCTCATTTTATCTTCTTCGTAATTAGATCAATTCCCAACTGACTCTAAATCGTTCTCAATGATTCCACGATAACCGTAAACAATCCCAATTACTCGCCATGTCTCTTGCCCGTAATCGTCATACGGTTTCACGACGTCGGAAGTTCGAAATTAATAAAGAATCGCAGGAAAGACTGTGGAAAGAGAAAGGGTTTCGAAACGGCGCGCGAAGTTAATGTTTCACCGATTCTTCAAGAACGGGCAGCCCGGTCTTGGTGCAGTTATAGTCCTCCCGGCCATTACAGCATCGTTCGAACAAAGAAGAACAATTCACGGGGCCATTCGCCGGTTTCAAGAACTTCTTCGGTTTGAGGGAAGTGTACTTAAACAGCGAATCCGGGATTCAGTTCTTTCCCGAGCGTTTCTCTTCCCCGTCCGTTCCTCTCTTCCACGGCCTCTACTCTACTCTAACTACACCTCCTTTTTCCACGTTTCCGCCCGTCCCGACGCTCGCCACGTTTGCTCTAAATCGACTCAATGAAACTTGGCGAAACTTTCACCACCTATCGGACCTCGGCCGTGTTCCCTACCTAATAACGAAGTTAACTTGCCGACTGATCAGACGATCCGACCGCATTTTTCCTGCGAGTCGACGACATCGATTTCGCTCCCTCGTGTTGTTATTCGGCCGTTTGTCGTAGCCTCGGTGTTTCGATTGGATAAAGACCAGTGGACTGGACGAGCTTCAATGCTCTCGCCACGCGTTAGGAATTGGAATTTCATTTTCTTTTCGTCGAGGATAGTTAATTTAAACTAGGGACTCCCAAGAATGGAATCTCACGATTTGCTGTTCGCTTTTCAGCGAACTAAAATGTTCGAGTGTAATCCTTACGTACAATTCGATACAAGCTGCCGAAGTTAATCGTTCGTATGTTTGTTCGTATGTATCAGGTTTCTCACGTATCTGCATTTTGAATTAATTGTAATATATTGTCCGACTTACTTTTATTAGTTTATTTCTTTAATAGTAATCTAATAGTAATTTTAGTTTAATTTCAATTTGTACGTTTTGGAAAAATTTTTTGTTACTGTAACGCGATCGATGAAAGTGATTGAACACTCACGAACAGTGACGTATACCAAGGTATTTGCTTCGCGCAACTAGATGGTTAAAGTGGGTTACAATCGTCGTTTAAGGTATTCGTTTCTCCGGAGGTTTTTAGCGCAGAGGCTGTTTCTGAAATTTCTCAGGGCCTCGCCAGAGAAATTTCGGCGAAGTTTCACGCCAGTACGCGAAGTTTCAGTATTTATTATGGTTGGACGTTAGGTGTATCCTTTATGGATGGCAACGCCAAGTGTTCCAGCCGTCTGGACGGTCCTCATTTATAAGGTGTTTCCAGTGTCTGACCACAGCAGCCTAGCACTACTGAATACCGTTACCAGGCGAAGATAGGAAAGGTCCGTTTTAGTAAATGTTCTCGCGAAACAATAATAATTAGGCCACGAACATTTGTGCAAATTTAAATGTGCGGAAACGTATATAAACGCAGAAAAATATGCGAAATATCTCAGGGTAAAGTAATTACCTATTGCGCACGATTGTGCATTTTTATATTTTTACAAAGATAGCTAAAGAAATGGAATCTAAATAGAAATTTATTTAATAAATACTCTGCTTTTCCACATTATTCCCTAAGTTTCTCAAAAAAGCATAAACATTCGCTTTCTTTACTTGAAATATCTACTGTTTCGAAATTACACTTCTCCGTTTTCACTTCGTTCAATAGAGAACATTTTTCGAGCCAGTGTTTCAAAATCACTGCAGTATTATGCAATATTATTTCAGAAAAATTTCTACAATAATTTTTATTTGACAATAGATCTGGTAATTAGAGTGTAGAACTTGCATTAGAGAAATGAAAATGAACAGTTTATGATACAATACAAAGTACAAGCTTCTTGTTTACATATCTTATGGAAAATTATCTTCAAAAATGCATCGTTGTGTAAATCTTGAATTTTAACCATTCTATAGCATATTCTAGGAAAGTAGTTAAACTAAAAAAACAAAAGAAAGATACGAGGAACTCTCAAGACGTTATCATACCTTATAAAATGAAAAAATGCGAGATAAGATATTTTAACTGAGAAAAAAAAAATTACCACAATTCTCGCTCGATCTTCTCGTTTCTTTCAGCTGTATTCGTAAAGGATGTACATTCGACAAGACATTCGCAGTCTAATCATCCTCGATCGGTAATTAACCGAACGTTTTAACGAACGTTCTAACAGCTACTTCGAGTTACTTCATTCCAACACCCTCATCCTGTCCCTGATTAATCTCATAAAGTCGGCGACTCGATTTCATTTTTCAGGGAGAACACGATGGAAACATTCTACGCTCAGCGCGCGCTGAGGACGCTTCGGAGAAGCGTGTACAGGAAGACAAGCTCGTGGCTCGATGCTCGATCACGCGAATTGCTTCCACGCTTCTCCCCAATAACAACGCAATTACCGGAGGATAATAATTCTCGCGGGAAACTGCCAATGCCGCGCGTAACTTCGCCCTCGAATCGAGCTAACCGCTTTTTTTTCCTCTCCCTCTTCCGTGTCGGTCGTTTTCGCAAACGCCAGGAGAAAAATCAGGGAACAGCATCGCGATGGATCTCGATTTAATTTCGTTGTCCAATGTCGAACGTGATTAATCCTTTATAGGCTTGCTGGTAAGTACATTTGCCACTTGGTTTATGTTGCAAGCGAAACATGCGCACAGGGATCATTGTGGTGTGAAGGGTCCAAGTCTTAATACTGTGCCCAACTACGTAGTATTGTAATTATTCAGTGAAAATTTGAGAAAAATTTTCAGAAGAGGGACAATACTGTGCAATTATGCGGCAATAGATCAACGAAACGAAAGTTTGCATAAATTATTTCGAAACAATAGTTTAACAACAATAGGAGTTTAAATTCGAATATTAATTTTTACAATCGCAAGGTGGTCAAGTCGTTTTTTACATGTTACGTGCTACTACAAAGACGATTGTAAAGCATTAAAATTCAGCGGACGATCTCTATGCTTCAACGGGCAAACAAAGTATTTGTAACTTTTGAAAAGTCATCGTGTTAAAATTTGAAAGAAGATCTGTCCACAGTACCGTATCGTTCCAAGGGAAACAAGCCGATGATGGTTAAATTACAGACGCGAATAGGAGACGGCGAAACCGATAGAAAGAGATCAGGCAGAAGAAGAAAAGGCAAAAAAAAAAGGAGAATAAGAGGAGAGACGATGGTTGCGTCCATGGTGGATGGAAAGAGGTTAATGCGGAAAGCGTGTCTGTCGCGGAACGGTTTGATCTGTTCCATCCTTTAGGAAGGCGCGTTAAAAAGGCAGCCGTGGTAGCATTTAACGTGGCACGGCGAAAAGGGGTACGCAGAAAAGGGCACGTCGTAAAAGTAATGCGCTCACCGGCCATTTCGTGGACCAACGTTCGTCACATACGACGAGGACGCCGTAATGGCTGAATCCGGTATGTCGCCGGACTCCATCCCCAAGGATTGATTGCACGCTCCTGAAACACATTTAACTTTATTATTATATGTATTATATGTGGGATCGTATATACAGAATTCGATCGAAAGTTATCTACAGAGCAGATTTCCGTTGTATTCTTGTAAGATCAACATTAAGTGTAGTTTGATATCGTGCATGGGACATTGCAAGCAATATTATTAACTATCTCACTTGTATTTTTAACTTTGATTTTCGCAAAAATTTAGTCTCTTGAGAAATATCTTATTCTAGATTTTCCTTTGATTTTTTTACTCTTGGAATAAGAAATTACTTATATTGTGTGTTCATTCGCGTGATAACATTTAAAAGCTACAGTGTATTAGAGACTTCAATGATCTTTTATGACGTTCTTGTTTCGTATAAAACTTTGCTTCGTTTTATTTATTTTTATTTATCTGATAGAATTTTGATCGGTAGTTTTAGCATTACCAAAATCTACTATGGGAATTCTACGATTCCACTTGTACCAGTTCCTTGTTGATATGAATTTGTGAAAGTAAATCGTCCGATTCTTAAGAATTCAATATTAATTGCCTTACTTGTGTAATATAAGTAAAAAATTTACAAACAATTAAAGTCGACCACATTTGACGTTTTAATGAATTATGAACATTTCCATTAATGTTCCATAAATTTTCTAATGCACTCGTGAGAGATAATTCGTCCACTAAGATGGTAACCAACGAATGATCGAGATATCGCACATTTATACAGCCAAGTTATCCACGCTCGATATGATTATATTGTCGTTTGCTGTTTAACTTCACTGCACGATCTACTGCAGTTAACTACGTTTACAATTTCTGTATTTGCTAGATCGTGGTCTTGGCGATTCGTGATTCTCCTCCTGTTTGCCAGAGGAATCGCAGCGTACAATGGTCCAACGACGAATCGAATGGCCATTTCCGACCGTCGAATCGCCGTTCTATTCCGTAGTCACATTCCACGATTCTCTGCTATACGATGTCGACCGACAATCGGCTACCGGAAATGTAAATTGAAAGGTTAACTTCTTCCAGCCAAAGTCCAAAGGCAATCTCTAGCAAGACTATTTTTATCGTCACGTTCGTATCTTCGGGTCATACTGGCTACAAGTTTGCGAATATTATTCGCAAGAAACGGGGCCAAAAACTCTAAGAAATTCTGCTACTAAATATCATGAATATTACAACGTGATGTTTAGTGCATTCTCTGCATTTTTACATCATAAAATATCCCATCAATGTACGAGAGTTTTCATAGTTTAACAATAACGAATAATTTTGACTAACGAGCTGCTTATATATTTGAAGCCAATCTGAAAATGTCGTAAGATATTTATCGCAAACGTAAGAAATTAGTACATAGCATGAACGATTATTTTGGGCATACAATAAATGTTAAAAATTGTTCCGTTAAATATAAAAGCCTGTTAATGTAATGGATAATTGACGAAATATACTTATACAGTGTCTTAAGAAACTATTCAATCACTTGTCACAGAATGTCTATTTATATATATGTATGTTACATAAAACATTTTGAAAAAAGTCGAGTAATTTCCATTAAAAGCAGATTCAGATACAAAGACCAGAATCAACTTGTTGACAATTATACGTAGAATTTTTCTTGTATATGCTATAATTTTTTGCACTGCCAAATTTTTTGTATAAATACAAGGGATTCCTATAAACGCGAGCATCTGAAAAATGAACAGGGCTCGCAAAGTATTTAACCTTCAGATTTGATGTCATATCGTAGGGTAATCGAACGTGGAAGGTTTGGAAATATTTTTATAGTATAAATATCGGTGTATTGGGAGGTTTGGAACGGTGAGTGTCGGACAATTTATCCTGTTTCGTTGCTCCTAAAAAATTGACCACAATGTAACGCACACGACAGATTAAATTGCCACCCATTTGAGTTTTCGTTTCAATTTTTTAACTGTAATTGCGAAAATGACAGAATTTATCGCCGAGCGAATTAAGAGAGCTTTTGCTAGAACGATACGCGCACGATGGGTGTGCAGGTTTAAAATATCAGAGATCAATTGAATATTTGGAATTATTTTGTGAAGTGAATTATTCAAGCTATTATTCATTTATAGAGAATTTGTAACGATCTAGAGTTAAATTATTTAATTTTTAAAAATTTTTTTTTTAGTAGAATTTTAATTAAATACGAAATACAAAGTAAAATTAAATATTTCAAACTTTAGTAATTTGACACAAATACAATCATCTACGATCGAACAATGTCGTTTGAGGGTTGAGAATATTTCTGAAAAATGTAGTTGCATTGAAACAGGAGAAGAGCGATAATAAAATATTACACACTAATATTAAATTAATAAACTAATAAATATCAAAATAATAATAGACATCAGAACGCGTGTACGAATTTTTATTTATTAGTACAAGTAAAATTCTTCGTTTTGATCGTTGAATCGCTGTTTTATCGAAATTTCACGAATCAAATCACTTGTCAATCAGCATTACGTTTCTCCTTCGATAACAATTGCCTCGTAGAACAGAGAATCTCAGTTTCGTTAAGTCGAACGAAACGCGTCAATAAATTTTTCGTCGGGACACGTTTATAATTCACACTTCCTCCCGGTTCTCCATCTCCCGGGAGGATTTTATTGAAATCACGATCGGTAATAAGATGGACGCTGCGATCGTTACCTCGGAAAGTTGATGGATAAGTGGCGAACCGTTCTCCACGCGGCATTATTCAATCGCTACACACTTATTAGTCCGTCAGCTATCTCGTTCGCAATTTCAATTTACTCGAAGTTTACTGGCATTCGAGTGTAATCTTTCCATTAAAGTTTTCAGGCCGGACGATGAAAGCGGCCTGAGCAACGTCCAACGACGTGAGACGCGAGGGATTAATCGGCGCGAATAAATTTACATTATCGAGACCAGGAGGATCGACGAGGTTCTTTCGCGTCCACTTGCGAGCGCGGAAGACGCATTTCCAATTGCCCGTGGATTAAACGCAGGATCTTCGGCAAAAAGGGTGCCACTTATCGCTAGTTTGCTGGATAAGATTCTCGACTGTAGAATGCATATTACGTCACGTGAAATGACACTTATAGATAATAAATAAATACGAGAAAGATAAATAGAAATTGAACTGTACTTATTGTTCAGGAAAGTATTCGAACACTTGCAGGGATGTTTTGCGAATATATTACGCGTTTGTATGAAAGGTTTTGATACTTTATTAACATAATAGTGGTAAAGTTTGAAAAAGAATCATACAAAGAAAAATACAGTTATATGTATATGAATCTATATTTTGCAAAGATCACAAAAGTATTCAATTACGATTCATTATATCAATAAAATTCAATATACCGTCTGTTACTTGGTACACTACTATTATATGCTTTATGATGGTTATTCATATCGTATATTAATTTTTTACTAAACACACGTTCGCAGTAGATATTTTCTATATGTAGCTACACTCTCAAACTTGTTTTATCAATCATAATATTATCAATATAATCATAATAGTGGAATAGCAGAGTATTGATGAAATTTCAGGATATTCTATTGTCGTCATTCAATCTATATAATGTAATTTATGTGAAGGGATTTCGAATGTATAATAAAGACGAGGGGCGAGTTTATTAGCGCCAGAAAGAAATCATTGATTTTTCAAATAAATATTAATTTTTCCAAGTTAACAATTAAAGAACCTTTGTTCACAACTATTTTCATTCAACGTTTGTCTCAGAGACGTTTATTAAAATATTATACGAATAATCAAACCCGTGGTATTTCACCCCGTTCTGTTTCTACGTTTCTTCACTTATTGTTTAATACAATAAAACGGCCATCACAATAGCCATCTTTTAATTATTCTCGCCGAGTTTATCTCGAAGTTGGAGAACAAAGACCGACAAGAATTCCGTTTGTTAATATCTTTCGGAAGAGTCATGCCACTGGAATCACCAATGTTTCGAGCGATGCTATTCTTAGCTATCAAACTCTTGGGCGGATGTACGTTGAATGAATGTTGTCGATTCACAAGCCGTCCTGTTTATTAACAACGGTAGATCTTCTGAAATCAAGCAGAATAGATTGATCTCGTTCTTATTGGCTTTGGCAGCCGTACGACGTCGAGCACGCTTCCGCTCGATTAAATTTTTTTCCCCCCTTTCACCTTTCATCAGCCCTCCTACGGAAATCCTTTTTCCCGAGTAAGCCATCGCTTGCTTAAACCGAGCCGATGAATTTCCTTTCCGCGGAAATAAAGCGAAAGATGCTTCCAATAAACATCGTACACCCTTCTGGTGTACCCAGGCTGGGGCAACGCAGCACAAAACGAATGATCCTCCTCGAGTATAATTCTTAAACAAAGAAAAATGGGGAAAAACATTGCGGAATATATTCGCTGTTCGGCTGGAAGAACATTCCGGCTCGCGAGTTTCTTTCTTTTGAGAAAAATAACGTATTGCACGATTTGGTAGAGATCAGTGCCAAGGAGAGAAAGAACAACATCACGGATTGAAATTGGCCATTCCAAAATGGCACACTGCGATAGTTCGTCAGAGAATTTGGCTCCTCGATGCGATTAAATGTTTTTCTATAATGGCAACAGATCATCTGACCTTATATTGCTTTAAATATTAAATTATTGCTCTTGATAATTAATACTTTTCAAGTATTAAATTGATTAATTAATTAATACTCTTCAAGTAACAAATTATAAGTTGAAACTCCTATTTAAAAAGAATCTCCGAGCTATTAAGATTTTATCTTTGTCAATCGTTGAAAACATATCGAATTATTATCATTTAAATTATAATGATTTATATGTAGAACATTTCGATACGTTGTTAGGGGTTTTTACAGGACAAACAATTTCAAGTTGTCCTTAAAAAAGGTTGTACTTGAACCTATCCTCAACTTGTTTCCGCGAAATGTTCCGCTGTTAATTATTTTAAACCCGTGTGTCTTGTTTTCGATATTGTCCCCTTGTGGAATTTTAGGGCAACACTTGGAA